GACGATAAAGCTAATAATTGCAAACGAATTTCCTCACTCAGATGCCCATTATCTGCAAACAACAATGCGTTCCTCGAAGACAGGCCAGTCGACGCATCTAAACTGTAAATTATTTTCAAACAATTCGTTGGTCGTTAACTTTGACACGGTTTACGCGACTTACAGCCACGAGTAATTGGTTGACGAGCCTCGAGCTTCGAGTCATAAATCAAAGGCAAGTAACGGTTATGCCAAGCTATCTGCCTTGCGAACAGTCGCAAAAATGCATAAACGTCAGATGCATGTGCGCAGAAACGCACGTGAGTTTCAATATATGCGGTTATATTTCAATATTCATGCTCTGTTATCTTCGTCCTTTTCTTCCATTCGCGCGTGAATCTATTCCACTTCTGACGATGTCTATGTAACGACAACGACGAGAGATCAGACTTATTAGATAAATGTATTGGAATTTTCAATGTACAAAAAGTGCGGGAACACTTTGGGTAAAAGAGAAGGGAGAGACTCCACAAACTCCGACGACGACGAGAGATCGCGAACAGTGTACATTGGATTAGCCGATTTTTCGTTTTAGCGGCATACCGGAAGAAGGGGAGGAAGCTTTAATTGGCAAAGTTGGATGATTAAAGAAACGTGAACGGAATTGGACTGCAATTAAGACGAGAAGTAGCTAGGAAAAATTGTGGGATCGTTCGGTTTGTTCGTTTACGGAGGAACGCACGATCTTGAATGGAAAGCGGAAGGGAAACAAAGAAAGAAGCTGATTTATTCGCACGGTAAGTACTTCTTTTTACCTCGATGTATCGAGAAAAGAAAAAAAAAAGGAATTGCCGGAATTTCGATATTTGTTCGCGCGCGTTCTAACAGCGACTTTATGATTCTGGACGCGTGGACACGTAATTTCCGCCAACGTTTGACTTATCGTAGCATGAGCACGAGTCCAAATAATCAAATGATAAAACCGTCGACATTGTTTGAAATACAAAGGCCACCACACGCCACCATAAAGTCGCTGTTAGAACGCACGCGTCCGCAGTTATGTTAAATGAAATTAAGAAACTGTTTTTTTCGTCATTTTTCGACCATTGGTGGTATTCTTCGTAATGTAAAAACAAAAAGCAGAAAGAAAAA